CTAGTCCCTCGGGGCTCCGCGCCTCCAGCCGCGTGGGGAAGGTGGGTCTGTGGAGGCGGCTGGCCCGATGGGGGTCGATAGCAGCCGCCCGCGACACTGATCCCGTCGCGGACCTTCGCCGCGCGCTCTGCCAGCGCCCGCGCCTGCTCCGCCCCTGAGCGAACCCCACTCGCTCCGCCCCGGCCCCTCCCCGGGCTGCGAGAGGCGGCGCCAAAGGAGAGGGGCGGAGGGTCCGCACCCTGGCGGCTTCGGGCTCTGGCTCACAGTCCTACAGACTCCAGCTCGTCCTACCCCGCCCTTGGTTCTGCACCGGCCCGTGCCCATGCCGGTGCCACTGCCGCTGCCCTTGCCTCAACCCCGCGCGCCCGCTGCGCTCCTCAGTTCCTCCAAGCAGACCTGCCCGGATCCCGCCCCAGACCACGCTAGCTCTAGGGTCGTCCGCTTCAGTCCTCGCTCAATCACATGGATTTCCTTTTCCTAAGGAGCTTGGTGGGTCGTTTTCTAGAAGGCGTTAGATGTGAATTCCTAGGTTTCTTAAGCGTGGCCTTGAAGCAAGGAGAAGTCCCCTCTCTCTCTATGATGCAAAGCTCTCTTCCAAGGCCAGTTTCACATCCTGAAGGATTTGAAAGGTGGAGAAAAGTGACGAAGGGCATTTCGTCCTCTTTTCAAACCCAGGACGGGCCAAGGAGCCCTGGGATCCCTATTTCTTCAGTTTTCTAAGCCGGCTTCTGCTTCTGTTCTCTGGGCTCGCCTGCTTTTGCGCCCCCTATGAAGGGCGTTTGCTCAGGGCGTGCAGAACTTAGATATTACGCAAAATATAAAGAATCTTATTTGCATCTTCGATGCTCTGTCCTTTGCGCGTTGACTAAAACCTTAATCTAATCCTGTTTGAATTATGCCCAGCTCTAGCCCCCAGCCTGTAATAAGAAAAAAAAAATGTTATTATCTTCCCTGAAGGGAAACTAATGAATCTACAAATATTTATTGAACACCTACGGGTTCAATAAATATTTGTAGATTCAGCCCAATAGGGCATTGTCCTGATTCTTAAGGAGACACTTCGTGTTTTTCCCCATACATGACGACTAAACATCCCTTGAAACTGAAATTGCGGTTTTGAATTTGGGTAGTTCATTCAGTATGTGATTGAAGGGTTCTGTCTTGGCTACTTTCTAGCTTTCCGGTAAAATACATTTATCAACTAGATCATTGGAGGAGTTTAGGTTGTTCTTAGATCATTCACCATCTCCAAAACTTGGTGGGAAACCTAAAATAGGAATTAAGACCTGAAGATGGAAAAACTCTCTCTCCCTTTTTTGAAATACCAACCTCAATTTGTTGGTAACAATTCTTTTTTAACCACCTCTTTGCATAAATTGACACATCTTGATCGAACCTATGTTTTGTGTCTAACAAACAACAGAATTGGTGTCAAAAGACTGGAGAACAAGAACCAATCCGATGGAAAATAAAACCCCACTATTTTCTTACATTTAAAAATGAGATAACTGGTGACAGTCCCCTAACCGCTCAATCATTATCATGCTAATTACTGTAGGGCCATTCACAAAGAATGATGGTAGCACTCTGAGCTCCATAACCTGGTACTTCCAATCTTATTCTTTGCCTCCCCAAAGTAAAACCAAGCCTAACAGCCTTTCCTTGAGAATATTCTTTAGGGAATACTGAAAAATGTAAAAACCGGGAGGACGAACAGGGGTGACCAGGCTTGTAAACATCTTTAAAAAAAAAAAAAAATCTGGACTTATCTGTGGGCTTACAATGTACTTTCAGAAGTAATCTTTAAGAAAATTTCTTGACCATGCTCTCGAAGTTATAAAGAAATATTTTTCCAAGTTCTATCACTTTCTCTTTAATAAGTTACTCAAGTTAGCTAATATTTTAATCTTTGTTCCTTTTAATTCAGGCTTTCTTCCCTGGCTACCCCTACCCATAACCTCTAACCTCCACATCTGTTTTGTTTATTTACTTTTTTCCCTGGGTTATTCTCAACAGCTTACTTGAGTTACTCCATTCCTCTTTGTATTCCTAAATTTTTTTCCTCAACATTATTCCCAAAATTAGAGGAAAAAACCTTTTTTAACAACAAAAAGCCAAATTCTCATTCCTCTATTATTTATTTATAAAATTTGCACAGCATAAGGACGATCAACTATTCTTAGTCTTCTTCAAAATACAAAAAGCTCTCAAAACAAAGTATTTTATTTCTTTTTGTAAATATGCAGCAAATTCATTTGGTGGAAAAACCTATTTTAAACATTATGATTTTGATTTATCCCACTTCATGCAAATCAGTGCACATCCACTATATAATTTACAGTATGAATACCAATGTATTCTTCAAATACCTGAAATTTTCTGAATTTTTCATCACAGCTGGCTAAACAAATTTTCATATAAGGGATGATAGACCAGTATTTACCCTAGATGGAAAAAGTAGAGGAGGTATTCCAACTAGCATGCATTAAATGAAAACCTACCAGAAAACAGTACATGCCTGGAAGTGGGGTGGAAAATGGGGTGAAAGATGAGAACTAAGATACACACTTGCATGCACACACACATACACAGGATGGAAATAGACCTAGATTTGAGAATGAGGGTCTACATTGAACTGAAGAAAATTAGAGCACTAAGGTTGGGGAGAATTGACTCAAGATTACTTAGAAGTGATGTTTTTGTTGACCATGCACTTTTCATGTGACACAAGGGCCAGAGTCCTCATCTTTTGCTTGAGTCTAGCCTGAGACACTGTATCACCATGGTCACCCCTGTCTCTGGACTGCAGCAGGGAAGAGCCTATCAGCTATGGTTCTTAACTCTGTCCTTTGGTATAAGAGCTCCATGAAAATTGAATACATGAATTGTGTTGCTAGGGAAAGACAAGAAGGAGTTTCTGAAGTCTGGGAAAAGATCAGCTCAAGCTTGAATCAGTGAGGCCAGAAAAAAAGCAACAACAAGGACAACAATCAAAAGAGAGAGGGAGAGAGAGAGAGAGAGAGAGAGAGAGAGAGAGAGAGAGAGAGAGAGAGAGAGAG